TTAGGTTCAAAATCGCAAATGTCTACAGAAATACCGATAACCCTACACCTACCAGTGAAGAATGATAGCCTAAAACGTCGCCATTCGCCTATCTATTCCTTCAGATATATAGCCAGTGCACTAAATGTATGGTGATAAGAACCAGCACCACTGTGAACGCAAAAATCTTCGAAAGACGTAAACCAAATGTGAAGTATGGGAAAATCCAGCAAACACTGGATAACAAGGAAGTCCTAGGATGGTGCCAAATAAATTCTTCGTGTCAAGAGTTAGTGGAGCAGCGTAAGAACACCTTGATAAAAGACTAATGCAAGCTAAAAAGTGATGGTTTGGCTTTAACATCAATCGGGTATTAAGCTGTCAAGTATGAACGACCCAGCGATTAATCCAAGGCAAGAATTAGTGCAATCGGTCATGCGATCTAAAAAGGTGTTGATCTTAGTTTTCGTCCCAGAACCTAATAGAGGATGTAAGCTGATACCATTGCACTGGGTGAAATCCTGAGGATACTACAGCATGCAAGGCTGGTGTCACATAGATGAGATGATGAAAAGGCTGCCGGAAAGGCAGATATGAACGCATTATGGCAATCAAGCAACGCACCTCAAAGCTACTAAAAGAGATGTAGTCCAGTATACAGCAAACATTTCCTGATCAAAGACAAAAGCGATACAATTCACAGAGGGCTATTTAAATCAAACCCCAGCTGACAACAATGGTAACACTGACGAAAGTGCAGGGCCTGAGCAACTAGTCCCTTGATGGAGCACAAATTTTCGAAGTTCATCGGACCAAAAAGCGCTTACGTGGGGTCTGCGAAAAGTAGTTTAACGTCTGACTTCGATGAGCGCTAAATAGCCACCAAATGCCAAACCCATCCAGTGTACTTCAATCGTTTGACAGACGGAGGCGAAGCCTCACAAAATGTTTGATGACTCACCTCACAATTTGATTTTTTGTCAAATCAGTTGCAAGATAAAGTTCGAATGAGGGTGACAAACTGTTACGCCACGCAAATTTTATGATCCGCTTGCATTTTTTGCATTTTTCTATTCAGTCATGCCATCCACAATCTAGTTCTTCCACGTGTTTCAGTTGCAAAAGCAAAATCATATGTCGGCGAGTAACTTCAAACGAGTAAAACCAAATTAAGATATGGTTTGTCAGGCATTCTCGCGCCCACTTACGTACTACATTTATTACTGATAACGTCCGTTTATCGTTCTCAAGGCAAAAATTAAGCGATTCTCCAAAATGTAGCATTTTAAGGCTTCCACGATAGCACTGAGCGATGAGCACGATTACAGTAATGTCATTTTTTGAAGGAGAGGTACCAAAGCACAGCCTACCAAGAAGAACGAGGAACCGTGTTCGACCCGTAATGGACAAGGCTGTAGCACACAGTTGTGGAGTGGCATCACCAAAAAGATAGAGGTTGGGAATCGGCTCATTAAGTACCGTGTCCACAAAAAGTTGCCACTTTGTTCCTCTGGCGGCTTCTCTAAAAAATAGTTTTTAAACACAAGTTTGACAATAATACAACTGGTAGACGTCAAGCCTGCACAAGTCTCAATTCTTTGAAGTCAAAATAAGGATCAAATTAGTCACCAAATAAAAAGACTTTGAACCCCACAAGAAGACGCCTACCTCAAAATAGCCATGGGGAATCGCCGAAACTTTAGTCCGTTCTCAAAAAGTTGGTTTCTAATCGGCATTAGCTCCCAAGGGAAACAGAAGAGTGGCTGAAAGATGAGCACCATGCGCCCATCAGCCTTGTCATAGAAATCGGTTTTTGCCTTTCTGATGAGAAAACTTCGATAAGGGTTTTTATTGATCTGAAAAATGCAAAAGAAAAGTTTCTCCACTTTGCACCCGTAATTGGAAAATTTTCAAAGGGACTAAATACTCTTTCTTGAGTTTCCTCTTTAACGATGATAAACCTTTCCTGACGACTGAGCGTTGGCTGTCGATACAAAGGCTTTGTAACTTCCCGGAATAAGCGCTGTTCCAGAGTACCCGGGGAAGGGATATGGCGACATCGCAAGGGCTGGCGGAAGGATGAATAAGAGTTTGTCAGCAGAGTACTTCGGGCATATATGGATGCTACCGCCTAAAATAAACATTGTGTAGGAGATTTAAAGACTATTGATACGATTAGCATCCAAAAGGGGACCAGCCAAAATTTCAGAAAAAGGCTGCAGACGCAATGCAGTGATTTGATTAAATATAGACAACAAATCGTATTTTTGACGAGAATGCAGAAATGAGGTGATAAGTTACTGAGATACCACAGTTTATAAGTGGAAATAAGAGTCAAAGGATAGAACCTAACGAAGAAGGGAGTACCGCGCATTTTTACTAGATGATGCCTTTTTCAACTTGGATAAGCTCAAAGAGGTAGAGAATCGAGTTGGAGTTGATCTTGGACCTAAAATAGTGTCCACATCCTCTGTTTGCAGCTCTGAATGCAAAACAAAGCGAAGCTGATTCAAGAATGACTCCGAATTATGCACAGTAGTACCACCGAGTATAACGTTCAGTCCAGGCGTAGACGACATCAATTTATGGACAGCAAGTGACTCTTCGTATGTGGCGCCGCCAAGGATAAACACAATGATTTTCTTCGCAGGCAAGGGGGAAGGACTTCCCTGCCCACAGTCCAGCGTTGGGAAGGCCGACTCCTGCAATTGACCCTGAATCAATTCGCGTAAGGTATCTACTATGAGAGGTTCGTGTTGAGTATAGACATTCTCAACATTCTTTCGCCCTTTTACGAAACGTTTGGTGATTGAGGCGACAGCATTTGTGGCAGTGGAGACAGAGGGACTAGAGCCGACATCTCGAACCGCAGAAAGAAGGTCGGAGGGAGCTACACGTTTCTGACTGCTTGGATGGTCGCTAAGGTGCTCAATCACACGAACATCATCCTTGGGAACACCTCGTTCGATAAGAGCCGCAGACAACATAGAAATTTCTCGCAGATTCAACTCATAACGAAGAGAATATAAAATGACCAGACGAAGAGCATCACCGTTCTTAATACGGGAATCCGATACCAGAGAACGAATCCTATTAAAGCTGGTAGAATGAGAATTTTGGCAAACAAGCTCCTGCTCAACTTCACTTATCTCCAATAACGAGCGACTTTTTACGATTTGAGATAATTCTGACACGATTGCAACGTGCATCTCAACAGTTCCGGAAGCTTTTCGGAAGTCAGGATAGTTTTCCAGCAAACCTTTAAGATCGGAAATTGATTTGGCATTTTCCGCATCCACTTTTTTTGTAACTTTCTGAAAGTTCGCAACTAAGTCCTTGATGGCTTGACCAATCTCTCCAAAATTGACGTATTGATTTGTCTTAAAGAAATCGTCAAATTCTCGAGACAAAGTCAACTCCGATGCTTTATCTGCTGCAGCGCCAGAGGCATGGAGAACAACACGGTTATTCTTAATTCCAATCAGCTCATGAATCATCGCTTCGTAGGTCCACTGAATGAGAAGAGGTGTGATTTGATCCAGACGTCTATCAATAATTAGAAGAACGGGAGCACGGTCTGATTTTCGAAAATCGAACAAATCGGTCTCACGAGAGCAAAACGACCGAACAGACTCGGCTAAAACGCGGCATTGATCAGAGGACTGTTGGTATCGGATTTGCGGCAACCACTGAAGAGTAAGAAGTACAGCTGTGATAGCATGGGATGAGCGTGAAAGTACCTCAGGAACTACATCAAATCCTGGGGCAAAACAAATAGGTCGTTCGATCGCAAAGAGATGCGGTGAGAGCGCAATAAAGTCGACAAAATACTCCTGAACCTCCACAACAGCCTCGTGAATATCAGCTTCTGCAAGCTGCTTGAGTGATTGTTTTGAAAGAGCGTGACTGAAGAATAAGAAATAGGAAGCATATTTTGGTGACTTGAGCTCCTGTGATATCAATGTCACATTCTCACTGGTAGGCCGAACAAAGTATACTCCAGTAAGATGATTTAACGACTCTCTTGAGGATTTGATTCGTTCAACAAGAAAGATATCCTTCTCCATGATTTCCGAAAAGGCAACGGCGACACTTAGTATCACCAATGTTTCCTCATCCACAATGAGAACCTTCATACCAGGAGGAATAGCAAACATTTTTGAGAAATATGTGCGTACGGACTCATAAATATTCATAACGTCGACTTTACTTGTCTAAGAAAAGTGTAATAATCGCATCAAACGTAATGAACCAACACCGCAGTCAATCAAACCAGTCGGGCGTCTCTTAATGGATTCAAACTAATATCGAAGCCATAACTACCAGTAAGACCAATAAAAGACCTCATTTGAAGCTTTAATTTGAAGCTTAATAAAACGCTTTGTTCTAATAAAAAGCAGTATTTATTCGTGCACTAGGCATTAAGGCCGTAAGTTCCATTTAATATAACTATAGTTTTAATGTCTTGTTTACTTGACTACCTGTATAATACATTGTGACCA